ACCCGGGCGTCACTCCTGGTGCGTGGGGACCAACTGGGCAGGGACCCAGACCCACAGGCTTCTGATACCAAATGCACGTGCTGTGCCCTTTGTCCCTCAGTCACACAGAGGGTGAAAATGGGAGGGCTTTTGTGGCCCCTGAACCAGAAATTGCGGGCTTTCTCTGGGCTTAGGGGTGCACATCCCTCCTCAGCAGCATCTCCCCTGCCACCCACCTCCCCCAACCCTGCCTAGAGTTAGTGGAGTCCTGTATGCCCATGACTGGAGGCCATCCAAGTGTAGTTTGGTGTTACTCACTTCGTCCACCAGTTTCCAGGCACTGATCAGTTTCCTCCAGGAGTGTCCCTTTACTGTCTCCACCAGGCCTAAGACTGACCCTTCACCTGCAGCCCTGTTGAGCTCTCTCTCCTGACTTGGCCCTTGTAGGCTTTGGGTGGCTTAATCACTACAGCAGACTGCTTTCTGAACCCCACCTCTGCAGTTCATTAAGCCTCCAGTCTAAAAAAACATACCTACCTGGTGGGCAGGTTGATCCAGCCCTATGAGGGTTTATGCTTATCTTTCAAGAAGCATATATGTAGCCCAAGATGTGTAAATCATAGCCCTCAGACCCTGTGCTCTCATTTGGCCCCTTTACTCATCCTAAGGAAGCACCATGTCCCACACACCCTCCCTCTGCCCAGCCATGTCCCATGCACCCGCAGAGCTGCAGCTCAAGTCCTCGTATCTTAGGACGGGGCCTGGTGGCTAGTCGGCAGCTGACTGGGGTTCTGGTCCTGGTCCTGACTACCAGGACAAGACTACCAGGTCCGAAAGGTCTCTGACTCTAAGTTAGCTGAGGTTGAGCTAACCCTTTTCCTTTGCGTTTATTTATTCCCTGGAGCACACAATTAACAATTTTTGAAAATAGATTCACAGTGTGTTAGTAGTAGTCTGGTCCAGCCCCCTCACTTTACAGATGAGGTAACCACGTTCCACAGAGACCAAATTCCTGCCCTAAGACCTGCTGGAGAGGCCTCCCAACTCCTGGTCCAGGGCTGTTTCCACCTTATCCCTCACTGTGTAGCTACGATGTTTAGCTCCTAGGCCTTGCATTATACTAATGCATATTGCTTTTGGTATTGCCTTCCTCCTGTTCTGTGTGGCCTGCTTCTCCAATTTGAGTTAATTTTTCAAATGAATGAATGCAAGGAACCTTATCCTTCTTTTGTGTCCTCACCTGCCCAGCCCTCTTGGCATTGATAGAGGGGTTACTCCTTGTCCCTGGTATTTTCAGACCCTTGCTTTGCCCAATAATGCTGGGGGGTTGGTGCAGAGATGCCCTCTCTGCTGGGAGTAGGCGCCACTTTGGCAGCTAAGCAGAGCTTTCCCTCCTCCATACAGAGGGAGCCCCCAGAAGGCTGGAGCAGAGTTGACGGGCATGCGACCAGGAGACCCCAGGTTGGAACCCACATTTTGGCAGTGCCGGGCAGCCAGCACCAGGCAGAGTGCACTCAGGACGAGATGAGCTTCATCTGCAGAGGTACAAGGCCAAGACCCCATGTGGGAACCTTAACAGAGCTTCATAAATTTATTCCTTTGGTTCTCTGTGGCATCTCTGAGGACTGAAGGGAGGAAGTTAAGGAAAGACCACTTGGAGCTCAGCAGAAAGATGTGGAGCTGCCTGAAATTCTGAGTCTTCCTTTTTTTCCCCCTTTCCAGTCTCTTTTGGGGGGGATCGGGGGGAGGTAATTAGGTTTATTTATTTATTTTTGGAGGAGGGACTGGGGATTGAACCCAGGACCTTGTGCATGCTAAGCATGTGATCTACCACTGAGCTATAGCCTCCCACCAAAGAGGGAGGAATGGATCTGAACAACTCTTTTTTCCCCCATTTCCAGTCTTTCTCTGTGCCTATTCCTTTTCTTCAGTCCCCTCAAGCTGCCAGAGGCCCAGAGGGATGGAGGCAAGATGCTCATCCTCCCCCCTCAGAAGAGCCAGCCTGTTGCTTCCCCTACCCATTTCTGCCCCAGCTCCTGCCACCATAACCACTTTGCCTCCCACTCTGCAAATGCTACTCCCCCAGCAGGGCTCACTGAGGCCTACCTTGTCCTTGAAATCTTTCCCAGCAGCCCCAGACTGTTCCAGTCATCCCCTCCGCCCGCCCCCAGACACCCCCATAGTATTTATTTCACACAACGCACATTCAGCTTATCTCTGCACAGTCCTGGAAGTATCCCTCTGGCTCCGAGTCTGTGGGCTTGCAAGCCTGAGAAGATTGTAAGCCCCTGGACAGGAAGCCCTGCCCCTCATCCTCTTCTAGCCCCCAGGGCTCCTGGCACAGGGCTAAGTAATAAATAATCCCCCCACCCATCCCCACTGGTCAGCTCCCAAATCAAGCAGAGGAGCAGGACCAGCACGGCCCTTAGAACCTGTGCTCCCGCAGGGGCGCGCTTCACCCAGCTCCCAGGAGAGGCCCTGCAGCCCCTGCACCACATGGGCCCCGACACCTGGGAACTGAAGGACTGGAAGGGCTGCCAGGCCACGGTGCCCATCGGCCCCATCATGGAACAGAAGTCCCAGGTACTGCCACTGCCTCCCCACCCCCACCAAGCCTTCTGCTGCTTGCCAGGAGTCCCCTCCAGACACACTGCCCTCTATCTACCCTGTCGGCACAGGTGGTGTCTGCCCCGAGCTCTCCAAGGGAAGGCCCAAGAAACCCAGTGGCCTGGCATGAGGTTTCCTGCTACTCTGGCCCCCGGGGCAACCAGGAGATGGTCCTCACAGATGAGCCTGACCCAGACTTTGACCCTAACGCCATCCTCCAGACACAGGACCGCTTGAGCCAGGACTATGAGGGCCTACGGGCTCTGGCAGAGGTAATGCTCCTTGTTCAAGAAATGTTCACGTTGCCACTCCTCTGTACGAGACCCTGAGCTGTGAGCCCAGGGACGGAGCAGTGACTGGCCGTGCGCCCTGCCCTTGGGAGTTTATATCATGGCAGAGAAGATGTGAAACAACTTGTTAGATGGATGGGGGTGTGATGGGAGCGTGAAAGGGCAGCCCAGGTTAGGCTGGGGTGTGGGGGTAGGTGTCTCTGAGAGAAGGACATTTAGGCTGAGACTTGAACAGTGAGAAGCTGGGAGCAGATGGAGCTAGGGGGAGGGCAGGGGGAGAGAGCGAGGAGGAGTGTTCTAGGCAGGACCTGTGCAAAGGCAGGAAAGAGGAGTGAGGGCCAGGGTGCTTGGGGCATAGCAGTAAGGCCAGAGAGTAGCAAGTAAGTGGCTAGAGGAGAGCCCGAGAGGAGCAGGGCCGGTGAGCGGGTCCAGGTCCTGTGGGAGAAGCATGGCTTGTTCCTGAGAGCCAAAGGGCATGAGCAGGACAAGATCTAAAGAGCATACTCTGCCGGGGGCCCTCTGCCCTATGCCAGCTCCTTGCCCTGGACCTCTGACAGAGGGCACAGACCCAGCAGGGGTACAGGGACCATTTCTGTCCCGGCTCTGGGCTCTGCTGGCATGGGGGGTGATAGTGACCTCCTCTGAGCACCCGGTGATGGGCACTGACCTCTGGGCTGGCCTCTTCTCAGCACCACAGGGCCCGGTTGGAGGAGGTGGTGGCCCTGTTTGGCTTCTATGGCTCATGTGGGGAGCTGCAGTCCTGGCTGGAAACCCAGACAGCCCAATTCCGAACACTGCAACCCCAGGCCGACAACTTAGAGGTCATGCAGCTCAAGTATGAGGTACAGTCCCCTTGGAGCCCAAGGGGAGCCTTAGCTGCTTGGCCCCACTGCCCCTCCATATTCCTGTCCTCCCCCTCCCCACCTTGCCTCTGCCTCCCTGCTATTCACTCCTTGCCTCAGGGCTCTGGGTTAGATGTGGTCCTGGCAGGGAGGGAGCTGGCCTTGAATTTTTCTTAATTGATGTATCTTTGGCACACAATATTATATTATTTCAGATGTGCAACATAATAATTAAATGTTTGTATATATTGGAAAATGATCACAACAATAAATCTAGTTAATATCCATCACCATATATACATAGTTATGGAGTTCTTCCCTAGTGATAAGAACTTTTAAGATTTACTCTTTTAGCAATGTTCAAATATGCAATACAGTATTCTTAACTATAGTTGCCATGCTGTACATTACATCCCCATGACTTATTTATTTTATGACTGTAAATTTGTACCTTTCAAACTCTCTTCACCCATTTCACCCTCTCTCCACTCTTCTCCTCTGGCAACCACCAGTCTGTTCTCTGAATCTATAAGCTTGTTTTTTGTTATTGTTGTTTTGGTTTGGTTTGGGTTTTTTTTTTTTTTTTAAGATTTCACATGTAAGGAAGATCATATGGTATTTGTCTTTCTCCATCTGACCTGTTTCACTTAACATAATGCCGTCAAGTTCTAGCCACATTGTCCCTGACCTTGAATTTTTAAAGGATCCTCCTAGGCCTTTAAGGATGCAGATCACTGTCCTTTCGGAGGAATGCAGCTCAAACATCTCTGTAGCAGAGCATATCTGAAGTCATTCCTAGTCTTAAGGGAAGTGTGGAAAGAGAAAAAGCCCCCTCAAGGCCTGGAACCTCCTTTCCCCAGAACTTCCTCACTACCCTGGCTGTGGGAAGAGGCCTCTGGGCTGAGGTTAGCAACTCCGCTGAGCAGCTGAAGCAGAGATGTCCTGGAGATTCCCCCCAAATCCAGCAAAAGCAAGAGGAACTGAGCCAAAGGTGAGGATAAGAGGGGAAGGCTGGATGCAGTGCCTGGGCCTGAATGTCTGCTCGCCTGACTCCCGGACGTGTCAGAGACAGAGGGCGTGGGGACAGCCAGCCTGGCAGCCTCTGTCATGTGAGCCTTTGGCCAAGGCCCCAGGATGGATGGGGAGGTGCCCCTGGGATGGAGACATCCCTGTTCCCTCTGCCCAGGTGGGAGCAGCTGGAGGCCCTGAAGAAAGAAAAGGAAACACAGCTGGCATGCACCATGCACATGTGCAGTTTTCTGCAGGAGTGTGGATCCACATGGGTCCAGCTGCAAGACATGATGCTCCAGCTAAAAGCCCTGGAGCTGGGGCACTTAGAGGACAGCCACCACATCCTGCAAGTGGACCGGCAGAAGATGCTAGCGCTGGAGAGAGGCATTCACTATCTGCAAAGGGCAGCGATCAAGTACGGCCTGGGTTTGGCACAGTGAAGGCCTGAGCAGGGTTATGGGATGAGGAAGAGGGCAGAAACTGGGGTGGGGAGGACGGGCAGGATGTGCTGTCCGAAGGGCAGGGACACAGGTTGGGGAACCACGTGAGGAAATGCTCATGGTGCAGGGGAGAGCCACACATGCTTGCTGCCCCTGGGTCGAGGGTGAGGAGGGGTTCAGAGTTGCCACCACTTTCCCTGGGGAACACAGCCCTGGGCTCTGGGTCCAGGGCGGTGCACTGACTGGGCGGTGGGCTTTGTCTCCCAGAGTCAAGGAGTTGGGCCCCACAGAGAGCCAGTCCCTAGAGGGACAGGTGGAGACGCTGCAGGGGCTGCTGGAGCAAGTGCAGCAGCAAGTGGCCCAACGGGCCCGGGCCCAGGCCGAGGCGCAGGCCCGCCAGACCTTCCTGCAGGACAGCCGGCGACTGCTGCTGTGGGCAGACAGCGTCCGGGCTCGGCTGCTCAGCGAGGAGGATGCAGCGGACGTGGCCTCAGCCCAGCGGCTGCTGGGGGAGCACCGAGACCTGCTGGAGGAGATCCACCTGCTGCAGGAGAGGTCAGGACAGGAGGGGTAGACAGGGCACACTTCAGGCTGGCCACGGCCTGTGGGGACGGGGCACCAGAAAGGGAGAGGCATGAAGCAGCTTGTACCCAGGGGAGTGGCCCGGGCTTGTGTCTGGCATGGTGCTTGAGGCAGGTTTACAAAGAGTAGGGTCTAACCAAGGACTTGTCAGGCATCCTACATACTTTGGGGAGGGACCCAGAGCAGAATCTGAGCTTCCTAGAAGGTTCTGTCCAGTCCAGGCCTGACCACACCCCATCCAGGTGGGCCTGATGTATTGCTTTGCCAGGGAGGCCTAGCCTCCACACCTATTATGAGTAATGAGGACCCCACTGGCCCCTGGAGTCAAATGGCTCAGGGTCCCCCTGGGACACCTAGCTCCTCGGTATGGCGATGCCACCTCATTTCCTGCAGGGGTGATGGTTCAGGCCTGTCAGGCAGGTAGGGCCACTGCAAACAGTCTGCAGACTGTGCCTCACGTGAAGGAGCCTGACAGGTGGCCAAGCAGGCACTGAAATACAGCCCAGCCCCTGCTCGCTAGACTCTACTACCCACTTCAGGGCTGCATCAGCTCAGGGAAGGGGAGCCTTTTCCTAATTCACACAAAGGTGTCACCTGTTCCCAAGCAGTGAGCCTATGGGCTGCACCCAGCAGAGAGGGGCACCTTTCCTAATTGCTCCAGGCTCCATTGGGCCCTGCAGTCAGGCAGGGAAGTGGTTTGAGTGATTTTTTTTCTGGTTTGTGCTGCCCCAACGTATCCACTTGCCTGGACATCACCATGAGCATGGCCAACTGGAGCAAAGGTGTGACACGGCAGGGAGCATGGGAACTAGTGAGTCCCAGTGCCGTGCCGGGCTTGTTACATTTGATGTCTCACTAGAGGGCAGGGCACCGCTGTCTTACGGGGCATGTGAAGCTCCTGGGCTAACCAGTTACCCTCACATCAGAACTTGAAGATGAAAGAATGTGGAGGCAAGCGGGGAGGAAGGTTGGCCAGAGGAGCAGATAGAGTTTGACCATCTCTGCCTGTTGTCCTGGACAGGCTGCAGCAGCTGGAGGCTCAGGGCCAACGCATGGCAGCCTCGGACTCCGCAGACTCCCGAGAGGTAGCCAGTGCTCTGAGGCTCCTGGGCCAGCAAGGCCGGGGGTTGAAGGCTGCCTGGGAGCAGAGACAGCAGCAGCTGCATGAGGGGCTGGAGTTGCAGAGGTTTGGTCGAGAAGTAGATGGTTTCATTGCCACTTGTGCCAACCATGAGGCCAACTTCCTACAGCTGGACAGCCTTGGGGTATGGAGTTGGGAGTGTGCAGCTGGGGTGCTACTTCCCCAGGAAGTAGGAGCTTAGAAGCCAGTCTGGGAGGGAGGCCTCTGGATTGGCAGTGGGTGAGATGGTGCTGACGCCATTCGCCGGGCCATGACCTCAGTCTCTGCATCCCCAGGAGGACGTAGGGGAGGCCCAGAGCCTGTTGCAGCGGCACCAGGAGTTTGGACAGCTCCTGGGTGCCGTTGGCCTTCGGGCAGAGGATCTACAGGCACGGGGCAAGAAGCTGGCTCAGAGACAACACCCTGCTGTTCACAAGTGAGCCTGGGCCTGTCTGGGCCTCACCTGCATGCCCCAGGTTTCTTAGCATACCCAGCCTGTTGCCCTGAGACTGAGAGAGTGTGCAGGGAGTGGGGGCACAGCGGGGCACCCTGAGCTTCAGTGGGCCCCACCTTTAGGGTGGGCCTCAGGTGGAGTGGAGCCTCCCCATACCGTCCCCTACTCCGCTGCCCTCCAGGGTCAGAGAGCAGCTGCGGAGCATCCAGGTGCAGTGGATCAGGGTCCAGGAGCGGAGCGAGCAGAGGAGGAGGCAGCTGCTGGCTTCCCTCCAGCTCCAGGTGAGGGGCCGGCCCTGGTGCCTGAGGCCTCCCCAGGGGCAAAGGCTGAGTCCTCTGCCACACTAACAACTGTGTGCTATGCGGAGCACTTTACAGTTGACAGAGCACTTCCTCACACGTTAATGTCACTGACCCTCCCATCACCTCTTGTGAGACAGGCATTATGGCTCTAATGTTTCCAGATGAAGAAAACTGAGGCTGAGGCCACACCGCTCGGAGGCAGGACTGGGCACAAAGCCTAGGCTTCTTGAATAACCCCTCACCCTCCCTCATCCAATGCTCCCCACCCCCATGTGTCCCCATTCTGGCCACACTCCAGGCTCTTGCATGGGCCATGGGCTCCAGCTGTAGACTTCAGCTTTGTCAGATATTTATTCTGCCCACATGGGGGCTCAGAGCTGAGCCAGTCCACAGGCCTCCTGGAGCCTAAGCCTGTCTGGAGGCAGAGGGCCGTATGTGATCTGATGCACCTTGAACGGTGGGGACCTGGCCAGGCGCTCCTTCTCTCTGGGCACAGGGTGCCGTGGGGCCGGACCCTGATTCTCCAGGCCTCTTGAGCTGTTTTCCTTGAGATATTTTTCTCCCCATCTCGGTTTCCCTGACCCCAGGCCTAGACTCTCTTATACCCCTGGATAGACTCCTCATCCTGCTCTTCCCCTGGGGGCCCTGAAACCCCTTCCCCAGAGGACCTCATACCTGTCTTCGTCCCCACTCTGTGACACCCACTCTCTCCCTATTCTGGGGCAGGAATGGAAGCAGGACATGGCGGAGCTGATGCTATGGTTGGAGGAGAAGGGGTTGATGGTGGTGGACAAGTGCTCCCAAGACCCTGGCAACATCCTGTGGAAACTCAAGTGGCACGAAGCAGTTGAGCGCGAGCTGCGGGCCACCCGTGGGCACGTGGAGGGCCTGCAGCAGGTGTGGGACACTGGGCACAGGGTACAGGGCCTACTTGGCTTCACATCTCCAGCTTCACAGCATGTTTTCATGGAACACACTCCCTGAAGGAAGAATCAACCTCACTTACCATGAAATTATGATCCCCTAGCTTTGCCCTTCGCTCAGCAGGCACCCTTGGTCTTGGTACCCAAACTGGCCCAGAAAGTTGCCATCCTCATTTCCCTTCAACTCTCCGAGGCAGCCCCAGAACCTGCCGCCTCCACCTGAGCACAGCCCTTCCCACCAGCAATCTGGTGCCTGCTCCCCCCGCACTATTTGTGGGCATCAGAGAAAAGCCCTCCCACCTCTGCCCACAGATCTGGGGCCACACAAACAGCCCGAGCCCTTGAGGCCTGTGAGGTGCAGCTTACAGCCACCCCCACTTCCCTACCCCGCCCAGGCCCAGCCCACCACTGCCACTCCGGGTACCTGCAGCTCAACAGGATACCCGGGGCCTCTGTGTCCACTGCAGGTTGGGAGAGGGCTGTTGAGCAGCTGGCCCCATGCCCAGGAGGACGTGCAGGTGGCGCTCCAGGGCCTGAGTGGCAAGTGGGAAGAGTTGCACTGCAAAGTGGCGGAGCTTGGGAAGCAGCTCCGGCGGGCTCTGCGACAGGACCAGCTCCTGGGGCTGCTGCAGGTCGGCCGAAGAGAAGGGTAGAGCACGGGAAGGGAGGGAGACTGAGGCTGGGGTGGGCTGGGAACAGACAGGACAGGAAGGGGAGAGGAGGAGTCTGGGTGGTCTGCTGACTCAAGCGGCCCTGGGAAGTCCTGCAGCTTTGGTGGCCTCTGGCCTCCGGCTCGTTAAGCCTGGCTTTAACCATCATTGGCCAATCCAGGTTGTCTCCTGTGTGCCCGTGTGTGGTCAGCACAACTTGAGTCCCCCAGAGAGGAAGAAGTGTAAGGGGTCGGGGGTATTCATGAGACTCTGGGACAAGGTTTGGGCACCAAGGGTGGAGGGTGGACAATGGCAGGGACAGAAGTCTTCAGAAGTCCTTGGTGAATCCTATGTGCTACAAGCCCTGCAGCCTTAGAGCCCGAGAAGGGCTGCCTGCTAGCCTGGACGTGGAGAGCCTAATGCAGCGGCCCACCTCACTCCCCAGGAAGCCAAGGAGAAGATGGAGCAGCTAGAGGGGGCCCTGCAGAGTGCAGAATTGGGGCAGGACCTGGGCTCGAGCCGGAGGCTGCAGAAACAGCACCGCCAGCTGGAGGGCGAGAGCCAGGCGCTGGCCAGCAAGATGGCTGCCCTCGTCTCCCAGGCCCACCAGGTGGTTAAGTCCCAGACCATCGTGGAGGAAACCCAAAAGTACCTCCAGAGGTACTCGCCTGCTTCTTCTGTCTCCATCCTATCGTGTGTAACTGCCACCATGTGAACATGAGATGGTTTCACCCAGTGAGCCCAGCAGGGAAACCCTGAGGTTGTCCAAACCTCCTTCCCTTATGAGTAGAGCCATTCCTGGGATAGGAGGGTCAGAGAGCCCAGCCAGACATCCTAAGCACCCCACAGCCTGAAGCCAGCTGGCTCAGCTGGGCGAGAGGTTGCACCTGGGGCCCTCTCCAGCTGCCTCCCCTTCATCAAATGAGGCTTCCGCATCCCCTGCCTCATTCCTCATGGGTCCCTGGCTGCTCCGAGGAAAGGACTGAGCCTTGGACCTCACCTGTTCCCAGCCTCTCCCATCTCCTCCCTCCACCCAGGTTCGAGTCCCTGCAGGGACATCTGGCCGCCCGGCGAATACAGCTGCAGGCCTCGGTTGAGCTGTGTCAGTTTTACCACCTGAGTGACACGGAGTTCACATGGGTGGCAGAGCACATGCCAGCACCCAGTGCCAGCTCTGCCAAAGACTTGAATGGTGCGAACAGGCTTCTCCGCAAGCACAAGGTAATGGTCTCAGTTTTCTTCCAGGATCCCTGACATTCCATTCCCAGACCCCTAGATGCTCTGCACTGCCACTCCTCAGGGAGCCCTGATTTCCAAGTCCCTGCCTCCAGCCCTTCTCTGCCTGTAAGTTTTGCCATGATTGGGCCCCAGAGCTGCATCCACGGCTCTGTTCCGGGCACAATGTGGCTAAGGGAACCCTGGACGCGGCAGCCCCTCATGCTCTTCTTTGGCAGGTACTCTGGGCAGAGGTAAAAGGCCACCAGGGACACCTGCAATGGGTGCTGGGTTCTGGGCAAAGCCTCGCAGCCTCGGGGCATCCCCAGGCCCAGCATATCATGAAGCAGTGCCAGAAGCTGGAAGGCCGCTGGGCAGAGCTGGAGCAGGCATGTGAGGTGCAGGCCCAGCGCCTGCAGCATGTTGTTGCTCTCCAGCAGGTAGGATGCAGAGAGCACGGGGTTGGGGGAGTAGCCAAAGTTGGTAGCCTCTTAAGCGAGGTGTGTGGGACCTGGGACTCTCAGGGAGCTGGGTCAGTGGGGAGAGGTCTGGGCCCAGAGCTGCCTGGTGCCTGAGGGCACAGAAGCCTCTTTGTGCTGCCTGCTGGAGAGCAGGGCATGATGCCCTCAAGGGGTGCTGGAGGGGCCCATCTGAGATCGTCAGGGTGAGTTGGCACCATTCTTGGCAGTATTTCCTGGATGTGTCAGAGTTGGAGGACTGGGCAGAGGAACAGTGGCCGCTGGTGAGCGGGCAGGACTACGGCGGGGACGAGACAGTCACCATTAGGCTCATCAGGAAGCACCAGGTACTGTGTCCTGAGCATCCCTGGCGTGGTCTGGACCACAGTGATCCCGGGCTGTGAGGAACGCATCTGTCACATGCACAAAGGGCACATCCAGCTTCTCAGAAGCACAAAGCCCTGCTCTTTTCCTGGAGACTGTCCAGCCTCTTCCCCACTCCCACCCAGATCCTCTAGGGCCCCTTGCTCCTCACAGGGCTTCCTTCTTCAGAGGCCACCCCTTTGAGGAGTCCACTCCTCCTCATCTCTGTAGCAGCCACACTCCTGTGGCCCCAGGATGTCTTTGCCTTCTCTTCCTGCTTCTCCTCCCCAGGCATTTCTCTTCTCTCTCAGGATCACCTGTTCCCACCATCCCCACATCTTCTACAGGTTTCTTCCTCCTATAGTTTGAATGTCATCTTTTGAATTAACCAAATGCCCTTCCTGAAACCTACCTCCCCTCACAAGCATCCCTGATTAAAGCGAGGGAGACCTGGAGCACCCCTCCTCCTTTCTGGAATCTGACTCTCAGAACCGCACACGAGCCCTGGACCCCACAGGAGTCCTGGTTCCTCTGGTCATGGAAGTTTCCTCCTGTCTGGGCATTTCATCTACATAGCCCTAACGGTCAATGTTTCAGGGTCCTGTGCCTGAGGACTTTCAGTGAGCCGTTCCTCAGGGGGTACGCCATAGCCCTGGCCTCGTGGAGCTTCGGCATCCCGGGCATCCTGGGCAGCTTGCTTAACTCTGTCCATTTTCATACTGTGATGCTGGGGCCCAGTACAGTGCCTCCCATGCCCTGTCTTCCTTGGCCCACATTACCCAGCATTCACTCTTCCCTGCTAAACAGTGAGCCCTCTGCGGGGGCTCTGTGTCTTCACCTCATGGTATAGTCAGAACTCCATCCCTATTGTGTAGGTGGATGATGGGTGCATGAGTGAGCGGATGGGGTGGGATGAGAGGATGGGTGAGTGAGTGGGTGGGTGGATGAGTGGAAGGAGAAGATGTATGGGTGTGTTATCAACAGTTGAATGGACAGGTGGATGGATGGGTGGATGAACAAATCACCCAGCCTGAGCCTGGCACAGGTCCCTGTGTGCTGGCAGGCCCTGCAACAGGAACTGGCTCATTATTGGAGCTCCCTGGAGGAGCTTGAACAGAGGGCCCAAACCCTCACTGGCCCTGAGGCCCCTGCGCAGCTACGCATGGTGTGGGAGAGGCTGCAGGAGCGGCTGCGGGCACTGCAGGAGTTGGCAGCCATACGGTGAGGGTTACTGTGCCCCAAGGCTTAGGGGGCCTAGCCACAGTTGACTGTTTCCATACGGTAACCCTGAGTTCGAAGGGGCCCATGACCCCAGGCCCACAGAGCTGTCAGGTGATTCCTTGCTGTGTTGATCCCCTCTTTCCATAATTTCACTGGGCAGGAACTCCTACCCTCTAGCTCCCAACTACCCATCCCTTCCCCACATCCACACCCTTACCTGCCCTACTCTGGCTTTCCTATGTTTACTTCTTCCTGAATCCAGAGTCTCAAGCTTGGCCAGAGACCACAAATTTGAATATCATCTTTTGAGTTAACTAGGTCCTCCTTCAGGTCATCCATCTTGGCTGGGCCAGTTGTCCCGGGGTGGGGGGGCTAACTCCTGGGGAACCACGGGCTATCCCCACAGGGACCAGGAGCTGGAAGGAACCCTAAAGCTGCATGAGTTCATGAGGGAGGCCAAGGAGCTACAGGGCTGGCTGGTCAGCCAGAAGCAGGCAGCCAGAGGAGGAGAGAGCCTTGGGGAGGACCACGAGGACGTCCTGGTGAGAAGGGGCCTGGAGCAAGGAGGAAGCCCTGAGGCCGGACACTGCGGGCCAGGGGGCCGGCTGCACTGTGTGGAGAAGGGGCCATGGGTCAGGAGCTGAGGACAGGCCCTCTGACTAGAGTGGGCAGGCGCTGCGGCCATCCAACCCACATGGCCCAGACGTCACTGAGGTGCCTCTCTCCCCGGGCCACTTGCTGCCTCACCAGCTAGGGGCCACCCTGTCACCTACTCCCCTCTCTCTTCAGCGTCTCTGCACCAAGTTTGCGAAGTTACAGCATCAAGTGGAGCTGGGCGGCCGACAGGTAGCAACCTGTCAGCAGCTGGCGGAGAGCCTGCTGGAGCAGGGGCACAGTGCTGCCCCCCAGGCTCGGCAGATGCAGCAGGATCTGCAGTGAGTGCCCAGCGGGCCCGGAGCATTAAGAGAGGGCATGTGCTCCCAGGGTCACCCGGGCTCTGCCTGCCCCTGAGGTGTCTTTCTGTAGAGGGGCCTGCCCCCAGGGAAGCCCAGCCTGCCGCAGGTGGCCCTGGGCTGGTGGGGCCGGGAGGCTGGGTATGCAGGTTAGAGAGCCCTGCCCAGACCCCCAGCAGCACATTTCCAAACCACTGGCTCCTAGGACTTGGATGAGTTGCTGTGGGAAGACTTCCTAGCTGCCTACTGGCTGGTGGGGGGCCTCCCCCAACCTGTGAGCTTTGAGGCAAGGTCGTCCCTGTTCATAAACCACAGCACAGAGCCTGGTCCAGTGGAAGCCTTAGGAGCTCAGGGAGAGTTTGCTGAGTGAATAAGGAATGGAGAGGAGATGTGGCCTCTGCGCTCGAGCGATTATAATCTCGTTAACCTATTGAGACTCAAAGGCGCAAGATGAACGGAGTATCACAAAGCATAGAAATCAGTTAAGTGCTGAGTGTGACAGCAGCAAAGGACTGAATACAAAGCAAAGCTAGAAAGACAGGCTCCAGGAACAGGGCCAGACAGGAGAGGGGGTTAAGAAGGGAAGACTCGGGCCAGTCCTGGATGCAGCCCAGAGAGCAGGTGGGCTGACCAGCCTAGCAAGGGGGTGGAACGAGGTGCTAGGTCAACAGCTGATGTGCTGCGGGTCTCCCACGCACCTATGGGCAGGGCTGCCTGGTCGGAGCTGTGGGAGCTGACCCAGGCCCGTGGCCGCCGGCTCCGAGATGCTGAGATCACCCTCAAAGTTCACAGAGATCTGTTGGAAGCCCTCACCCAGGTCCAGGTGTGAGCCTGGGGGGGAGGAAGGGGGTCCTTTCTAGAAGCGGACCCAGGCTCAGCACCCCACTTTCCATTCCTCATCCCCTTGGCCATCTCCTTTCCTCAGGAGAAAGCCACCAGCCTCCCCTGTGACGTGGCCCAGAACCTGTGTGGGCTGGAGGCCCAGCTGAGGAGGCACAAGGTGCTGGAGCTTGAACTTGTGGGCACTGAGCAGCAGGTGAGCCCAGGTCTGGCCGCCTCTCCTACTGCAGGCCCCGCAGGCCCCCTCAGGCCTGCCCATCTGCTCTCTAGCTTGTCCCCACTCCCTCAGGGCCGCCAGTTGGGCCCATTGTGCATGGCAGGGCATGACCCCCGGAGGGAGCTGTGGGACAGGCAGGCCCTTCAGCCTCTAGGAGGACTCCCTCCTTCCCTCCCTACCCTCTACCCTGTCCCCAGCTGCAGGAGCTGCTGGAGGCTGGAGGCGCCGTGCAGAAGCTGGGCCCCAGGCCTCAAGCCCACGCAGTGCAGCAGAGGCAGCAGGCTCTGGTGCAGGCCTGGGAGGCCCTGAAGCTGCATGTGGAGCAGCGCCGGGCCCGGCTAGAGCGGGCAGGGCTCCTGGCCCGCTTCCACACAGCGGTGAGCCATCATTCCCCAGGGCAGCATGTGTGTATGTGTGCGTGCATGTCTGTGTTGCACCATGAGTGTGCAAGCAATAATGAGGCCCTCCAGCTCCAGATGGAAGACGAGTGTAGACACGTGCGATGTCCATCTGGCTGGTCAGAGGGCTGAGCATGGGTCCCAGCAGTGACTCCTTAGGTCTAGGTCACCGCCTGGCCAGGTAAGTGACAGCACAGTCAGGAGACAGGGGTCCCAGCCAAAGTTTGGGAGAAAAACAGCCCAGGAAAGCCCGTAACTGGAGACCCAAATGTCCTAGACAGTGACCTCTGAATCAGGCATCTTTTTAACCTCTGTGTTAGGCTCTCTGCTAGGAGCTGTGGGTGGGGAGAGGAGGATGACATGGAGCCTATGAAAGATGGGACAACTGCCATCAGGGAGCCTGTCTCGCTGGGAGATAAGCCCAACACCCCAGAGAGTCAGATGCGGACAGCAGGCCTGGCCCTGGGCTCTCCCAGGAGTCCCCATGTCCCAGTGCCTGGTAGACTGCAAGGCCCAAAGTGTGACACTGCAGAAAGGCTTGCATTTAGAGACCTAGCTCTGCCACTTCCTAGCAGCGTGGGCTCGAGCAAGGCACTTACCCCTAGCTTGTTATCCACTGTGTGTGAGCGCTTGGAGGTTTCAAAACTCTCGCACACATGTTGTGCCATTTACCCTTCTTCATCTGTGCAATGATTTTGGACAAGGCTTCGAGGCTCTTCCAGCTCTAACATGCGTTTGCACACAAATCGGTAGAAGGCCACTTGTGAGTGTTGAACTGGAGATTCAGAGGACAAGTCAAGTCGGGGCCAGGGAAGGCTTCATGAGGCAAAGAAGGCCTCGGCCCTAGATGAATGTGTGCACTTGGAAGGGATGGAAGGCAGGAGAAGAACTTCTAAGCAAGAAAGGCAGTGAAAGTAAAGAATGGAGAGAAGTCTCGGTGTGGGTGAGGAGGAGGCTGGTCTTGGCACCTGTGGAAGTTTAGTGGACCTGGGAGCACTGAGTTGGATGGCAGCAAGGGAACCAGGTGACCCAGGGCCCTCACCTGTGGCTCTGACCTGGGACGCCTTGGGGCCACTCCAGTACGTGCGTGGATCCACGTGGGCTGTCGTGGTGCCTCAGAGCCTTGTTCTCTGCCACCCAGCCCATCCCAGCCTGCACCCCACTCTCTCCCTCTGTCTCCCTGGGATCCAGGTGCAGGACTACACCTCTTGGGTAACCAGCATGTGGCAGGAGCTGCAGGTGGAGGAGAGCTCCCAGGAGCCCAGCAGCAGCCTGCTAAAGCTCAGCACCCACCACCAGCTTCGGGCAGAGCTGGAGGCCCAGGAGGAGCTGTACCAGCGCGCCGCCCAGCTGGGCCAGCAGGCGCTTCTGGCTGCCGGGACATCCGGCAAGGAGGTGGGCCCCCTTGTCTGGTGCCCCCTCAGCCTATCCTGGCCAAGCCTGCGCCTGACAACTGTGCTCACACCCTGCCCCGCTGTGCCACACCAGCCTCTTCTCAGAGGCTTCCCTCAGCATCCACTTCTGTCTGGTCCACGTGGCTCTCCTGAGCGCAGGCTTCCCCCACTGCCCATCCCCAGGTCCAGGAAGGGCTGCGAGCCCTGAGGGACAAGCGAGAGCAGGTGTTCCAGGCCTGGGAGCAAAAGCAAGAGAGGCTGCAGGCCGTGCACCAGGAGCAGCTCTTCCTCAGAAAGTGCGGCCACCTGGACCAGATCCTCACAGCCTGGGAGGCAGGTGCCCTCATCCTGGAATAGGCATACCTGCCTCCTAGAGGGCCCTCTCCTCCCTCTCTCCCCTCCCCCTCACTCGCTCTCTTGCTTCCTGGGGCTTCTGGTTTTTTCCCTGATTCAGAGCCCAGGGGCTGTTCACTGCCTCAGCCCAGATGGCTGCAAATGGGGAGGGGGGCTGGTTGTCTGGATAGTCCCTGATGGCCCCTTTGACTTTTCTGTGGGCTGATCCAGGTCATCCTGAAAACCAGTGCCCTGGGGAGCTCAGTGGAAGAGGTGGAGAAGTTGATCAGCAAGCATAAGACCTTCCAGAAGGTGCTGATGGCCCAGGATGAGAAGGTAATGGGTCCGGGGAGTCCTGCATGTGGTCAGAGGTGGGTGGTGGGAGTCTGGGAAATTTGGAGAGTTCTGAATGGGGTATGCAGGGTGCTTGGTGTGAACCCACAGGTAAAGCTTATGTCTGGGGGTGGCCTGTGGGGCTAGGGGAGCCTGGTTGGGGCTGACTGTGCAGAGTTGGGCGTGTGGTACAAGAGGAGGGCCTGGGATGGGGTGAATCACACTGCAGGGACACAGAGGCCAGTTGGTTGCATATCACATGGTCACTGGGGAGCTGGGGGGTAGTGCTGGGAGGACTGGGCAGCCCTATGTCACGCAGGGCTGAGGGCAGGGCTTTCCTCAGGGCCAGCCCCTGCTCCAGCCTCCCCTGTATGGTAAACAGTGGGCTGTGTCCCCCGTCCCACCACCCTGCCCACAGGAGGCAGCTCTGTGTGAGCAGGCAAAGATGCTCGGGGGCCCCAGGACGCAGGACATGCTCCACACAGTGCTGGAGCACCGGGCTATGGTGAAGAAGCTGGCGGAGATCCGGGGACACACCCTGCACACCTCCCTGCTGATGGCTGCCTTCACCAGGGCCACCACCCAGGTCAGAAGGCCACCCCAGCCCAGTGCCTTCCACCTGGGCACATTTTACAGTTTGCAAATGATGTTCGCCTTCAAGGGCTCATTCAGGCCTCACCACAGCCCTGTGATAAGGACACTGAAGTTTGGAGAGTTAAATGACTTTCCCAGAGGCCATACTGGAGCCCAGAACATTTGATTTGAAGACCCTGTGTGTGGAGACCCCTCTGCTTCCTAAGCTCTTGAAGAGCCAGAACATAGGTGCTGAGGGGGAGCAGAGCAGTCTAGGAACCTAGGACAGGCAAGCTGCACCTCCAAAATGAGATCCCACCCAAGGTCCCTGCTCAGCCCTTTCCTGTGGCTGGGGGACCAGCTGGGCCTGGGGGTGTCTTCCTGGGCTCAAACCATTGAATCTCATTTACCAGACACTGCCCAGCCCAGCAGTCAGCTACCTGGGCATGGCTGAGGGCAGGCGTGGGGGATGTCTCTGAACTGAGGCAGCATCAGCATCATGAGATTCATGTCCCCACCCCTGCCAGGCTGAGGACTGGATCCAGGAGCGAATCCAGTGGCTAAAAGAGCCAGTCCCTCCTGGGGACTTGAAAGATAACTTGAGGCACCTGCCGAAACACCAGGCCTTTGAGGCTGAGGTCCAGGCCCATGAAGAGGTCATAACCTCTGTTGCCAAGGTAACAGCCAGGCCCTTAGCCCCACCCTGCCCCAGAGGGAAGACTCTAGGATGGCCAAAGGGAAAGGTCTGAGGCGGGGGGGGGGGGGGGGGGGGGCGGTGGGGGCGTGGAGGACGGAAAGAACGACGAA